TCATGCCTGTTCGATCGTGTGGGTCATCCTGCGTGCTGCAGTGACGAGGTTGGAATTGACAACAATGACACAGCCGTGGGATTTGCGCAGGATCTCCTGCAATTCCGGGTGCAGTGCAGGTTGTAGACTGCATGTCTTATCACAATGAATTCTTGAGAGTTGTGCTTCGGAGTGCCTTGCTCATGTGGCCGCAGCACTGGCAAGCAATTCAATACATTCCAGATGCATTGAATTGCGGTGCTGTGGGCACAGAAGCGGAAGCTTTCGCCGATGGAATTCTGCGTCGGTATTGAAGCATCCTCTCGTGCCTGAGCCCGAAGGCCTCCCAAGACATGAGAGTGCGAAGCCTTGAGAAAAACGAACACTGCATATGTGACACGGACACCCGCATGGCCAAGAAGACTGCTCTAAGACTTGAGAACATTGTGTCATGTTTTGCCCCCTTCGGTCTTCAAGCCCGCACCCCGAGTTTGCTTGGCTTGGGCCTGGTAGCGTTGTACTTTGTCGAGGGGGCTTTGGGGAAGCACCGAGGATAGCCTGTGGAAGGCTTCATTCTTGTGAAATCGGGCTGGGAACCACATCTTAGAACGTGGAAAGCCTTCCGAGAGGGGAGCTTAATGAAGCATAAGTCGGACAGCACGCGCTTCTGAAGCCGTCGCGGTTGGAACGCATTCCAAGTTGGTCAGGAGAAGACGTCCTTCATCAAGTACGACTTGAACCGCAACGGCACACTCGACTACCAGGTCACGCGGTGTCGCGCAGGGGTTCATTTTCTGAAAGCGGGACGGAACATGACTTAAAAGTCTATTGGCAGGAGCTGTGCAAGTTGCTCCGTCGCGGCGATCCAAACTTGACGGACATGGAGGCCCCAGCTCAGGAATGGCCTTTTCAGTTCAATGGCTCTGGTGCATACGTCAGGTGCAGGCCTTGTTCGATGCCCTTGACAAAGACAAGGATGGCCGGTTGCATGCTGGGTGTAAAGTTCTGAAGCGGCCCAGCTTCGGGCGCAGATACATTGATCCTGACATTGCAGGACGGGAATGTGGGATTTAACGAGCTGTCGGAGTGCCCCGACTCGAGCTGTTACTTGCAGAGGGAGCTGATGCATCAGTGCCAAGGCATTCATGTGGCGAGAGCAGGCAGCTAGTTACGGGACAAAGCTCTCGTTTTGTGCCACTTCTCTCTCCTCGAGTCTTCCACACAGGTACTTGCACCCACCTGGCGCAACCTTCGAGCACTCTACCTGGCGAAGCATGGTCTCTGATGAACATGATTTGTCGAGTTAGGGTATTGGATATCCGTTTTTTGCCGACGTTGCTACTCTGCCGTTGTCGTGAGGAAAGAAGCTGCGCACTGCTTTCAACCTCTCGTGTCCTGGTCCCGCAGACTACGTTGGCAATGACAAGGCGCCGAATGCAATGTAGGCCAAAACGGAAGTCCACTCATTACACGCAGCAGTTCGCACAACCAAACTCTGCTGCTCCTGTTATAACGAAGCAAACAGAGAGCCGTTTCCCTTCAACCTTTACTGTCTCGGCCGGCGACACTCCTTATAGCTCTCGGAGAGGCCTTGGCGGGCAAGCGCAACGCTCCGCGGGCTGTGATCCCAAGCCAGCGGTGCCTTGGCCCTGACGAGCTCACAAGCCACCGTGCTGTGCATTTGATGGTATTGGCTAAGTAGGTCGGCTCTCGGCCAAATATGTGTGTGTGTGTGTCAGAGACATGGAGCTCGTAGCATTAGCAGCATTTGCATCTGCACACTGTATGCTGGTTCAGCTTCAAGCACCCGCAGCCCTTCATCTCAGCAGTGAAGCCAATTAATTCTCTGTCGTTCCAAGATATCCAAGACATCCCGTTCCGCTTCAATTGTAAGCAGGGGTGAACAAGAATCAGTCTCAGAAGCCACATCACATGAGTGCCGTCGCCGGCTTTTAAGGAGAATGACCGACCACGGCGTGAACAGCCTCTCCCCTGGCCCGGCTGCCTACAAGGGAAACCACACGGCCAGCGCCTTCCACAAGTCGCCTGCCGAAATAGAGTCAAATTAGAGTTTCTGCGTTGGCTTGATAGGGGGTCCAGACAATGGGGGGGGGGGGCGGGGAAGTCACGTCAAACGCTCCATGCCCGTTCAACATGTTTGCTGTTCGATCTGATGGACGTGACAGGAGACGTGCTACTTGTGCCTCTTAGCAGTCGCCGGTTTTGCCAATGAGTGTATCATTGTGGTGGGGCATTGCGCAGGCAGTCCCGAAGGGTCACCAAAAGCAGCAGCCTTGTGCTTCAGCACCTAGCTGGACCTAACTGGAAGTCAGCTCCCAGCCGAAGCGACGTGTGACAAAGTAAGGAACGCCTACTCCGCCACTTTCGGCACTGCCCCGAAGGGCATGGGCTCTCGCTCCCCTTCTCCAGGGCCGGGATCGTGGCTTGGAGTCGGCTTGCATGTGTTTTGTTTAGGGGCTTTTCGGGAGTTCATTGCTTTGGGCGCTCAGGTTTGTTGTTTGTCCTTCGCCCGCGGTTGCGTGATGTGATGTTGGGAGTTGGATTGTCGGCGTCTTCATGCTGCATGCACTGCGAGAAGCTTTCAACATCGTTTGGCCCGAAAACTCGGCATTTAAATCTGAATGGCACATAACCGTAGGAGTGCAAACCTAGTTTGAGACGTTCTGGCTATGCTGTAGCATGTACTGTAGCGATTGGTGATGTCGCATGCTGAAACTTTACATGTGCGCATATACATAGGCAAGTATGCATGTTCGTGTGGATGGACGGATGGATGTTCGCATGTTTGCATTTCTTGATAACATGCGTATTTGCGTGTAATGGGTTGTGCATTCATGCACATGCGTGTTCTGGTTGACTCGTGTAATATGAAAGTTGGTTGAGGTGCTGCGTTTATTAATTACTTCTCGGCGTGTGGTTGCATGAGTCGGCCAGCGAGTCAGAAACCATGCTAGACGACAGTGCGTCACCGTGACCGAATCTTGGTTCCATATTATTCGCATTGTCGTACTAGCTGTTCGCCATGTCATTCTGTTTGCAACTGCATACAATGTAAGCAGATGAAGGCTTGTTGCTGATGTTGGTCCTTGCGGCTCAGGTATGTGCAAAATTTCTCAGTGCCTCGGATGTCCCAGAGCAGACTGAAGCTTCAACGCAACATAGAGGGGCTGTCTAGACTGATGATCATACATGGTTAGATCCAGGCGAAAGGTTCCATGTATGTCATTCGACCATCAACTTACTCTGGCAAGCATGAGGGCTGTCGAGCCAATTGCAACCAAAGTCTTGAGTCTTCAACCGCATTACGAAATCTTCATACTGCTCCGCGACCTGCTGCTGCTGATGCCGACGGCCACCCCTCATGGCTGTATTTACCGTCTTTTCGTGTGTAGTGTGTAATTAGAGACCTAGTTCGGGTGCTTACTTATGCCGATGCTGCGGTGAGCTTTGCTTTTTGGATCGCCGTGCCCGATGAATTGGCCAAGGTTCTCGCCCATCAAAAGCAGGGCCCGCGAGCCACAATTGGAGCTGCAAGGCGGGCACTCTGCTCCTTGGCTCGGGTGCTTTGAAGGTTATTGAGGGGTAATATAATTTAATATAATCCAATATATTAAATTATATACTGTATGATATTATCATAGATTCCTGGACGCTGCCTTTCCGTTTGGCTGTGTTTCTCATTGCATGGTGTTTGACAAGTGAGAGAAAGCATTCCGCAGGGTGGTTCCCGGCTCTGGCAGTCTTCACTCAGAGCAACGGCGAGTTGGTGGATGTAGCCGGTGCAGATGCCCTGAACCCTCCCTGCCTATCTTAGTTCAATGGTGGAGTCTCTGTGTTGTTCCATCCTCTCAACCAGTGTCATGCAACAGCTCAAGCATCGCAGCAGTTTCCGAGGCTATGAGGGCCATGTGGAGCCATCACCGGGCCCTGCCACCTACTGCACAAACGTCCAGCACAAGGCGCGGGAGTTCCAGCACAGGGAAACTTGCGGATTGAATGCTGGTGGCCCTGCAGCCCTGCAGAAAGACATTCAAAGTAGCATCAGACAGCCAACCCAAACAAAAACTTTTCTTCCCGACACCCGAGATGCAACCCTAACGGAGTCCGAGTCCGTGATATATTTGTGGGAGGTGAAGGGCGGGAACTACTTCGGCGTGCCGGGACGCATGTCATTGCCCGACCTCCCCTACGAGAAGCGGCAGTTCGCCAGCTGTGACGCAAACAAGGACGCCACTCAAGAGACTTCCGAAGCCTAGGAAAAGATTTAGGGCTTGGGGATGGGTTGGTGGTTGGCCGTTGTGTGACAAGACAAGCATCATACGTCACCATGCCGTTGTACGAAGCCAGCTTGATGCGACGTGTGCAGGATGGAACCTTGGGCGCGGATGAGGTTTACAGCATTTTATGCAAGGCAGACCCCAGGATCTCCGCAGCGGAAGCAAAGCAGATCTTCGACTCGTGTGATCGTGACGGTGATGGCAAGATCAACTTCGACGAGTTGAGGGACTACCTCCACCCAGTGAGTGCCAACGAGAACACGGCCTACAGAAAAGTGATGAGAGATGGCTTCTCCGTCAAGTCCCCTGGCCCGCTCGACTACGATGCTTGGCCGGGAATGTAATTGCGGGACGTCGCTGGCTGCGTGGACCCGGCGAGCTACCTGTGGGCTAGCCGGGGTTTGATTTGCTGCTTTTGAACTGCCTGCTCTATCTGAGGATACCATTGGGCCACGCAACTCGAAAATCCGAGGCAGGAGAATCCCACGACTTTGGTTGCGCGCTTGAAGTTTGGAGTAGTTGTTTCGTCTCTTCCGTTGTCCTCGACGCCTTCCTCTTTAAACATCGTTGTATAGCCACTGCAGCACTATCACCAGCGAGCCTTGTGGATCCTGGAACAGGCGGTTCAATTGGCCGGGCTCGTCGTTGAGTTTGTGCCTGGCCGAGCTGCAGGGAGTGGTGCATCCTTGTCGGGGTCACGGGTCACGTCTGCTGTTTCATGAGTTTAGATGGGCGGGTCTTCTTCTTTCAGTGCTGCTGCGCTCTCCTTGCGAGAACTGACCGTGTCCCTGTTTGCGGATAGGCTGGCAGTCCTGAAGTCCAGGAACAAGCTGATAGACAAGCATGAGCTTGAGACGCCCTTAGACTTCAGAACTTGTGCTCACTGCAGACGAAGCTGACGAAGCTTGCTGCTGGCATTCCTGCAGACGCTTCTGCAATCGTCTGTAGATGAAACAGCAACTCCACGAAGATAGATACCATACTGCATGCTCGCTGCGTGCCCACGCCAGCCATGGCCCTTGCCGGCAGGGAGCGCCAGCTGCGTGACATGTCTAGCAGTCTTGCAATTGCTTGGACGTGCAGAGTTCCCCATGGTACCAGTACTGTAGTGCTCGAGGCATTCTTGGAGGCAGCAGGCTTTCTGCACGGGTCGAATTCCTTTGAGCAGCAGGCTTTTTTTGCCACGGCGACGGGAGGCAAATCTTCTGTCCGTTAAAACACCAGGAAGAGATGAATCCCACCCCAAACATCTCAAAGGCCATGAGAAGTGTTTGTTCACAGGATGCGCCGCGGCTGGCCCCTACTCCAGGAATTCGCCCGCCCTACTGGAGAATGTCTCGGAGTGAACCCACTCTGCGCCAACAACCGCAGCAACTGAAGCACCGACCTCCGTGAGCAGGAGGAGGTGCAATATTATCAGGTTGCAGAGCAGGTAGACATGACCCTTAGTTGAGTCAAAAGCCAACTCATCGACGCCCCTGGTACTGTATTCATCTTCCGCTCATTCTGCTGTTTATCACTGGGAGGGGGGGGGGGGGCGCGTGGCATGAAGCCAGCCCGACAGCTGCGATTCGGTTCGACGCCACTGTTGCTTTTCTCAGTCTCAGGAACAGGTGTTTCCTAAACCCGTATAAACCCTAAACCCTACCGGTCCGGTCCTTTGTGTTGATCGCTTTGGGCCCCAGGTGAGCAGCTGAGCCAGGCTCAGGCCCGCTTTCCCCGACTTTCAGGGAACTTGCAGCGCAGCCTTAAAGAAGAAGCATTTAGCCTTTCACTTTCCAATATAGAAATGCAATAAATATAAACAAACAAATAAACAAATAATACATATATATATATGTATATATACACTGTCGGGCAGTCTTTACAATTCAGAAGCCAGGCGGATGTCGAGCGCTGCACAGCGCTGGTCGCAGCAGCTCGCCGCGACCTGCAGGCTTCTTATTTTTGATGATGCAATTTCAGACTCAGTTCAAGCTTAGAGCTGTTGGCGCGTTCTCGTGTCCACGGTTGCAGTGCTTTGGTTTGATGCTTCAAAGGCGCACTGGCGCATCAGCATGTGCAGCTTCGCCGCCTGGTTTGTCCAAAGTTGCAGGCAGCCCGAGAACGACAGAAGAGCCTCGAGGCCGAGATCGAGGACAGCATTCTCTTCTGACGTTTACGATGGTGAGCAAAGAAAGGGCTGGCTAAAGAGAGGTGTCTGTTGCGATGTCTTTCAGTGTCATACTTGCTGTGTTTTGGCATTGGGTAAGTACATATATACTCCACATCGCCACGCATACTGTCCAATCAACACTCCCCGCCGGCTCACCAACGTACTGTAGTTATGATGACGTCTTCTCAACTCTAATGCCATGTCCTTTCTTACTTGCGGCCCTTTTTTGGACTTGCCGAAGTAAGGATCTCCATGGATCTCGGCTCCAGGAGCTCCAGCAGCAGCGCCAGGAGTCTGCTGAGGACTGGGTGAAGCAGCAGCCCTGGACCAAGAAGCCTCCCAGCTACAAAGTCTTGGTGTGTCGATGCTTAGCCTTCCGATGGGTTCAAGTTCGGCTGCTGCACGCCTTTGGCTACGGCATTTGCCGTAGTCAGCTTTGTCCGAGGCTACGGCGGCTTTGTGAGCAGACTTTCGGTGTGACCACTTTCCGCAGGAACCAGGAGGAGACCGGGGGATCGGCATGGGCCCAGATTCCTGCTTTCTTGCCTTCTGCCTTTCACATCCACGCAGGAGAGACTGGGTTGATCGTGCGCTCCAAAGGTTTAAAGCAACCGCAGCCTTCCCAGGAGGCTTTGAATGCCATCCTTGCGGGCCGGGATGTGTTTTTGGTGGCACCGACTGGCGCCGGCAAGTCCTTGTGCTTTCAAGTCACACAGTGGCATGTACTTCGGGGAGACATTGCTTCCGGATGTCCTGGGGCTTATAAGCTGGACCTCGAACAGGGGCGTAGACCCGAAGCATGAACGACGCTATCACTAGATTTGAGGTTGAGCTTCCCACAGTCCCTCAGATCACTTGGTCACATATATCACATACCATGGTCAAGTCCCTCGATGCAAGGACGTCCATGTACCATCACGAACCCCGGTGCTTTCCAGGGCGCAAGTATTAGTCATTAAAGATCACACACACAGCACACACACAGCACATAGCCCGTGCACAGTTTCACGGGTTTGAGGCTCCCTCGCTTCTGCGCAGCAATCTCACCGTTGCTGCGGCCTTGGGCGGGCTTGATCAGGAGTTGTGTTTGGAGGTCAAGGGACGTGCGTCGAGGAGGGACCAAGTAGTACAGTGTGTCCTGTGCGTGCGCTTGCGAGTCGTGCGTCTCCATGGGGATTGGCTGGTTCTGATGTCAGTTGCTCCAAAGATCAGTCCTCGATG